CGTTTCTGTCATCCTCTGTGCACAAAGGAAAGAAGCAGCACGATATTCTTGCCCCAAAGCGACTGTAGATCTGTTCCCATTTTGAGAATTAGGAAAACGAGAGAAGCTTTGAAAATCCTGTCAATGCAGCTTTTTTCATCTACAACAATTGCATCTTATGTGTCATCTAAATTAAGTGAATCACCCTGAAAAGAGTGGCTTGCAGGATTAAAGCCAGATGGAGCTGAGCAACCCATCGCTGGGTCACAGAAGTGCCCTCCTCAAGGCTGTTTGGCACTCATCAACATTAACTTTAGCGATTTTCCAAAGGGTCGGGAATCCAAGTACAAATCAAACATGATCAACTGTATATTGAGAGTTGTCTGAATATTTAGGAGGCCATTACTAGTTAGCCTAGTCAGTGTCTGTTGGTTATTGAGGCGCATATATGTTTTGCCTTCCACGGCTGCTTCAAAAACTTGAAGTCTGCAATGCACTTCAAGTAATATTTGGATTTTTCCCAGGACTTTTAAATTTAAACGGTAGCGTAACATGTAAGTTGACTCATAATTCATTAGTGTTTGTGGTTCTGCCCTGCTGTCAGACGCCAGTCCTGCAGTTGACAGAGGAAAACCTTGGAATCCATCAACAGTCCAGCAGTGAGGCTTCTGTGGTTACTTTAGTTGGTTTTGTATTAGCAGGGCTGTCACATGCTGCTGTTGTATCCAGTGACATTTTAGAGCTTTTACAACAAAACATACATTTAAAAGGACATATGGGCATGTCGTCTGGCCAACACAATATGTCTCATCTTACATAGCATTGAAGGAGTTGGTGCAAAATGATGTTCTTGGGCTACAATTGTATGAGATATAGAGCCAAAATGTTGCCAAAGCCTGAACAATTTTCTGTTTTATTTCAAACATATTCTGGATATTTAGGATTAGAATTAGGAAACATGCATCGTTTTCACATTTAAATCAATGATAAATCAATGTGTCCCTGATAAATAAAAAAGTTCTTTTTAAAACAAAAAATATACTTTTTATTGAAATAAATCATAGTTTGTGGCAAAAGAAAATAATTATTTTGAACCCTGATATCAACCCTTATATATTGGTAAGGATGTTTTCAATTTGGCCATGACCTTTTCTGTGTTTCAGCAATTGGAATGATTTTGGTGACAAATCTTATATTGACACATATTTTTAAAAAAATGCTTTGATGAAAACAGACCTTAATACACTCACGCAAATTTACCACCATTTTGTTATGTTCAGATGAAAACATCCACTGAATTAAACTGCTGTAAAAATGCATCTGATTTTTTTTGTTTATTTTCTTTTGCATACATTTGTTAATCAACCTTAGTCCTGATCAAAACTACAAAATTGCTTAGAAAATTACAGGATTTAATGCTTTATTAGACAAATAAAAATGATGTCACCTATTTGGCAAAAAAAAAAAAAAAAAAACACACACACACACACAAAAACACACACAAAAAAAACACACACAAAGCACAAAATGACATATTTTCAATATAAAAAGTAATTGTTTAATAGAAACTTTTTAAACCTTTTATTAAAGTCTTGGACTTTTGAAACAACATTCTATTTGATGCATTGTTTATGATTGATTATCTTTTTTTCCTGCTAATTTACTGTTGGTGACTGCTTTTGCTCCATTCTATTATAACCACATTTTTCTGAATACAAAACAATGACAGCATATAATCATTTTGAGTAATCGTAAAAGTGACCTTTGACCACTTACCTTGATATGTCTGAGAAAATCAAAATATGCATCTCAGCTCTCAGAACTACATGGAGTAAATTAAAACAAACACTGTGTATTTATGCACCATCAAATGTGGTTATAATGGAAGTCAATGGGGCAAGAAAAGGCCACCAATAGTAAATTAGGGACAAAAAATTAAAATCTAACAATGCATCACAACGAACATTGTTACTAATCGTTCACATATCCAACACTGTGATAAAAGTAAAAAAAATTCAAAAGTCCAAAATTACTTTTATATTGGAAATACATCATTTTGTGTGTTTTCACCAAATCAGTGACATCATTTTTGAATTTGACAATTTAAGAGTTAATATCCTTAAATTTTCTAAGCAATTTTGTAGTTTTGATCAGGACTGAGGTTAATTAATTTAACAGATTTATGCAAACAAATTGGAAAACAAATATTAATGTGATGCATTTTTACAGCAGTATAATTCAGTGGATGTTTGCATATCGAACAGAACAAATGGGTAAATTTGAACAGGGTTAATAAGAAGTATTTCATGGCCACTAAATCAACATATTAAAATGACTTCTGAAAAATCATGTGATAATGGAAGCTGAAAAATAATAGCATGAATTACATGTTAAAATTCATTAAAATAGAAGTGTTAACTCAAATTTAATGAAAATGAAAATGTAATGAAATGTTTTGTATCAACAATCAAATGCAGCAGAAATTACTTCTTTTAGAAACATGAAAACATTTTAAACTTCCAAAATTTTTACCAGAAGTGCTTATAATGTATACTGTACGATACCAACATATCTCTAATTAGAACAACTTATGAATACTATTTACTAAGATTCTTACTTCCGTGCCGTTGTTTACCAGAAGCACAAAGGAATTTGATGTCTTTAGTCACCTGAGTGCACAGAGTTGGGGAATGTAAAATCATTTATTGACTGGGCTAAATATACACACAAAATGGGTCTAAAACACAGCATACATTGAAACTATGAGATTACATTAAAATCCTTAAATAAACAAGTTACACATCCTCTTTGGTAATTAACATTTACATTTTTTTTGTAAAAATAAAATTGGCATTAACGCAAGTTGTGTGCAAAGCCCATCCGCTTCAGTCTGAGGTCACGTCATCGTTTTTGGGTCCAAACATTCTATCAGATGCCAAAGCAAACAACAGATATTACTTATATGTGATTAAAGTTTGCTGTGATCACAGTGATATACCTGTCTAATCTCAGATGGACAGACAGTGATTCATCTTTTATAAAAGGCAAAACCATTGGTGTCTAGGATGACTAGAACACGATGACAAGCGAACACCAATATTTAGCAAAATATTTGCTTTAATGTGTGATATGACTAAAGAGTGGTCCATTGAAAGAGTTTTGTCAATCAGATGAGTGGATGTTTGGGCCCTGAAACATGTTTCCATAGGACACAATTTAACAAGGGGATATGGCTCAAAGAGATTCAACAAACTTAACTGAGATGCTTCCAAACAGATCAACACAAAAAAATCCAGGCACGAGGCACGCTGTATCTTAAACATGTAAAGCCTGAAAAAAAATTATGTTACATTGAATTTTTAAAAAGTGTCTTTCAGTTGTGAATAAAGGACCGTTCACGCCAAGAACAATAACTATAATAATAACAATCAAGATTGGGTTCATTCATGTTGACCCAACAAAACTGATTTAGTTTTCTATTAGAGACTAAGTGGATTGAATATAAAACAATTAAGTTGTCCCTCCCCAAAAAAAAACATCAAGAATTTTGTTGTATCAGCTCAGTTTTAATAAGTAATTTGAACAAGCAGCAAATTTCTTTTTTTGAGTGTTCGGAACAGGAATTAAGATATTTTAGAATAAATCTGAGAGCTGCATCATTTTCCAAAGACTGTAACATTCCTGACTCATTCAATGTCTAGAAAACGAACCAAAAACTTTGTCAAAATATTGCTTGTCAGTGTGAACATTTACAGGAAGTGACGTATTTCCATTAGAATCAGCAGCACAACACACAAGCATTATATTGCCTGTTGTAGATGCAGCCTGATCTGATATGGAGGACATTGGCAAGCAAAGTTGTTTTTACAGCTTATTTTGCCACACAAAAGGGTTCTTGGCGCTTCATATGATCACAGTTGAACCACTGGAGTCAAATGGAATGTTTTGATGTGTTTTTGGATCCTTTTCTGGACTTTGTATGTCTCAGGACTGTTGTTGTATGGAGGATGAGAGAGCTCTCGGATTTTATCAAAAAAACTTATTTTGTCTTCTGAAGATGAACAAAGGTCTCAGGGGGATTAATTTTGGGGTTAATTAACCATTTAAGAAAATGAATATAAATAACAATTGGTTACCTTCAGAAGAACATGTACAAATTGTAGTATAAATAATCTCACGGCAATTCGTGACTTTTTGATTTAGTGGCTAATTCCTATGAAATCGTACAATTTCATTCATACAATATGGTACAATTGCTCATCACCCAATGACGGTTGGGTTTAGGGGCAGGTTGGGTTCCATGCCTCGTTTTAAAATCATACATTTTCATACAACTGAACTCATACGAATTCGTATGAAATAGCCACTAAACTGACAAAATGTAAAATACTTACATTTTCTCGTGAGATCAGGCTGGTATAAAACATAGAAGTACTCCTTTTATACAGTGGAAAGTTTGATATCTTTGTATTGCTTCCTTTGAAAGAATATATTTGTGTTGTTTTTATTTCATTATTGGTATTATTATTATTATTTCTGTTCAGACAATTTAGAAATGCAGCTTCTTAAGACATCCGCTGGAAGGGTAAAAACATGATATTTCATTCTCATGGCAATTTGTAACTTTTTAATTAAGTTGCTAATTCGTATGTATTTAATGAGGGCGTGGGGTTAAAATTGTATTCGATAATAATAGTTTTCAGGAGGTCCATGTTTTTCAATGTCTGTTTTTTTTCTCCTTAGTTTCTATGCAAAACGTAAAGCATCAGTCAATTACAGACATAAATTTCAATTTACTTTGAAACATTAGTATAGCCAAAAAAAATCCACTCCAAGTGTGCCACATTTATTATTATTAAATTATTATTTTAAATTATTAAATTATTATTCAGATTATAGTGCAAAAAAACACTTACCACTAATGTTACAAAATCGACTTAGAAGTCTGAATATTGTAAATTATAAATGTATTTTTAAATATAATACATTTTTTGTAATTATTACATTTTAATTTTGTAGTACTTACTTTTATTATCATTTTATATTTGAAGTGTTTTAAAATTGTATTCAAAATAATTGATATTATCATTATTACAGCCTCCATGTTTTCTTTGCGAAATATACATGCTGTAAGGCCAAGCGTCTTTCATAATGTAAATCTCATAAGTAAAGAACAATATCCCAGATTTAGCAAAATGATAAAAAAATAATAACATTTTTGAGGCTTTACGAGGCTACACCATTGCTTTGAAACTGCAGTGCTCAAACTTCAAATAAACAGATCATTATGGTTACTAGTGTAAACACAAACATGGTTATCGTTATATTTATTGTTATCGTTCTTGCTGTGAACGGCCCTTAACACTAGCATGGCGGTATGTGCACACATGCTAAGTGTTTGTTGGCTCAGTGAAATTGTGGCATTCGTCCGGTCATGTTGGCCAGGATAACAGGCTTCCGGGGTCTTTGGTTTTCATGCGCAGGGCCACCAGGCCTGAGGGCTTATATTCAGACTCGGGACCAGCCTCGAAAGTGTGGGCCCCAAGGGATCCTGGGAAGCCATGGAGCGAGTATATACCATTAATGCTGGGGTGGTGCGACGGGTGATGGTGATGATGGTGGTGGTGATGATGATGACCAGGAGATGCAGACATGCCCATCAGTCCAGGTAAGTTTCCATGAGGATGAGGGTAAGGGGACATACAGGATGAGGGCATGTTCTCTGTGCCCAGCACACAAGCACTGGATGCTCCGCCGGCGCCTGTGGCTCCTGCACCGCTCGGCCATAAACTGTTCTGCATCTGCAAACAAGACCAAACATAGCGTCTTATCATTCATGCTAAACTAAAATATTATTGTATTAAAATAACATAAACAATAAATCAAAACTAACTTAAGAATGCCATTTTACTTTCATTCATTTTGTTTTTGGCTTAGTCCCTTTATTAATTAGGGGTCACCACAGCGGAATGAACCGCCAACTTATCCAGCATATGTTTTATGCAGCGGATGCATTTCCAGCCGCAACCCATCACTGGGAAACACCCGTACACTCTCATTCACACACATACACTGCTGACAATTACGGTTACCCAATTCACCTATACCGCATGTCTTTGCCAACACAGTGAGAACATGCAAACTTCAGTCAGAAATGCCAACAGACCCAGCCGAGGCTCAAACCAGCGACCTTCTTGCTGTGAGGCGATCGTGTTACCCACTGCGCCACCGTGTTGCCCTCATTTCATTTTATTATTTTTCATTATTTTGGTAGCACTTTTTAAAAATGTGGTACAGCAAGGAGGTTTTAGTTAGAGTTAGATAATGCATTAACTAACAAGAACTAATAATAAGCAATGTATTTGTTACTTTATTTATTTACTCTTAAGATAATAATAAACAACTGTTCCATTCATTCAAAAATCTCTTGCTTGTAATATGTGAGCATATTTACTGCACAAAACTTGTCAGTGAACTATGAGGGTCAAAAAAATAATAATAATCATTTATTAATCATAATCAAGTTAAAAGGTTTAATTAATCAAGATTTTGATTTTATGCCAGACTGCTCAGCCCTACCACATACTGTACATCGTTTGGATTTAATAACGTGTTATAAAATGCTAAATATTAACCAAGAATAATAAATGGAATAAAAGTGTATTTCATTGCTTTTTTATGCTAACTATTGTAGTTATTCAATATTGACAAGTGAAAATTGTTATAAACCGTTTAGTGTTAGTAGATAATGTTGAAATAACTGTGAACTCTAATGAACAAATGCTTAAAATTGTTTTTCAATGTTAATGTTCATTCATTTGGTTGACACATATTAACAAGTTGAAGTTCTGGTAAAATGTTAATATTTTATAGATTTGATAATTAGAAATGAAATGCTGAAATAAACAAATAAATAATTAAATATATATTGAAAAATCATATGTAAAGCTAATTTAGTAATTTAATATTAACAAATCGAAGATTATTGTAAAGCAATAACATTGTTTTAATGAAGTATTATGACATTTTGAAAATAGAATAACTAAATGCTTTACATTAATTAAACAAAAGATAAATTCTAATTCATAATTTATAAATATTATGTGTTACTTTTTCTATTAAAAAAATGATATGGCTTTAGACTGGCATTTTGGTGTGTTGTCAATATGTTTGCATTCAGCTAAACCAAAGCAACTCCACTGTGTGTGTGACTGTGTTGAAATACTAGACGAAGGCTTTCTCTGTTCAGTGTGTGTGTGTTTGAGTGTATGTACCTGGTATGTGTCGGAGCGAGGGAGAAGGGAGATATCGTATGTAGCAGCAAAGTGGTTTCGCACCTCTTGCATCTTTCCGTAGCGCTCTCTTTTCCGCCATTTGGCTCGTCGGTTTTGGAACCACACCTGACAAAAGAATACATTTATTAGGCTGAAACATGAATCGCAACTGTTACAATTATTCTTCTATGGATCGGTTAAATGAGCAATACTGAGGAAAGACACTACATGTGTATAGGGTCAAAAAGGGTCTTCACCACAAGTTTTTTAGCCCTCCTGTAATTTGTGTTTCATTTAAAACAGAGAAAGAATTTGTACAGTATTTCTGATAATAATTTTTCTTCTGGAGAAAGTCTTATTTGTTTTATTTTGGCTAGAATAAAACTATTTTAAGGTCAAAATTATTAGCCCTCATAAGAAATATTGTTTTTGATTGTCTATAGAACAAACCAAATTTTTATACAATGATTTGCATAATTACCCTAACTTGCCTAATTAACCTAGTTCAGCCTTTAAATGTCACTTTAAGCTGAATACTAGTGTCTTGAAAAATATCTGGTAAAATTTATTTTACAGATCATTTTGGGAATAATATCTTGAAACACTTGAAAAGCCCAAAATCTTAAGTGTCTCGTAAGTGATCATGTAGTGTCTCAACTTAATCATTTTTATTTAAGCATTTAAATATGTAATTAAATATAAAAAAATAATTAATTTCTTCTATCTACAATTAAAGTCTGTGTCCAGGTTGTCATTTCCTTTAAAATGGTAAAGGATACACTGATCATTATGTGACATCTAGGCTGTGTAACACACCTGAACTCTGGCCTCAGTGAGCTCTGTCCTCAGTGCCAGCTGTTCTCTTGCGTACACATCTGGATAATGTGTCTTCTGAAAGACCTTTTCCAGCTCCTCCAGTTGAAAGGTGCTGAAAGTCGTCCGGTTTCGCCTCTTCTTGTTTTTGCCTGATAGGTCAATAGAGTCCGCAATGGAGTCCCCAGTCAAGCCGTTGGACGCCTCTTTCAGTTTTCCACAACACTCTGAGTCCAGAGCGGGATAGCCAAGAGGCTTGGAGAGGGTTTTATCTCCTGCTGACAAAACACTCGATTTATAACTAAATGCAGATCAGTGACTTCTTGGTTCATAGACTCTAAAAATGGCTGGGTTATTTCAATTTCATTATAAAGTTATTTCAATTGCATTATAAATTTAGGATTAAATGTGGACAAACCCAACCTCTGGGTAAAGATTTTATATTTTATACCCAATTTTAACAGTTTGGTGGTCCAAAACTGTATAGAAATTTTGTTGAATTGACCCAGCATTTTTTTAAACAAATGCAAACTTCGCACAAGCTAAAATAAAGTATTATATTCTGAATATTTTTCAAGGATCAAGCGCTCTCTGGCAGGGATAAGTGGCCACTAAATGCAAAAAAAGATAACAAAAACAATATAATGAAGCAATAATCTATCTAAATTGAACCAAAGTGGGGTAATTAGTTAATAAAGTTGCTTTATATATATATATATATATATATATATATATATATATATATATATATATATATATATATATATATATATATATATATATATATATATATATATATATATATATATATATATATATATATATATATATATATATATGTAGGATGTGCATTTTACCAAACCAAGGGTTTTTGACCTGGAAATAGATTTTTAAATTGATATTTTTTTCTAAATGTAAAAAAAAAACAAAAAAACAATCGAAGACAGCAATGACTCGATAAAAAAACTTTGATGCACTTCTCCGCTCACCAAATGTATAAATGTGATCTTTACATAGAACTGTGAGAAAAGAGACACTTCAGATTTATTATGTTCTCTAGATTTGGAATTTACTAGCAGATAGATGAATGTGTTTTAAGAAAATTTGCATTTGTGTTTTATTTTAAAATACCTACAATTTGCCTCAAATTTCAAATAATAATAATAATTTAGAGACTTTATTTGCATAAATGCAACAGGACAAAATAAAAGTTTCCATACCTTAATATTGGAAAAGTATATATTATATATAGGCCCATAAATAGGTTTTAATTGCAATACCAAGTTAAACTATAATAAATTTAAAGGTGTATTTTCCCCTAGAGCTATATATTTTCATGAGTTAAGAAAATTCAGTCCATATTTAAAAAGTGTATAATTTATCCCAGTTTTGCAAACAACCAAAGATTGTCCAAAATGTGTGCATCACGTTAATGACGTCAAGTCACAAGCTATTTTTTTCAATCACTTTACTTAAGTTAAATGTTTCAATGATTGTTGGTGTAAAAAATGTAAAATAAAATAAATAAAATACTATGTTCTACTCACTCCGAAACACTCCAAACTGGTGACTTTATTACGTGATTTAGACGATACGAAGCAATGAAAGAAAACGCAAATCTATGGCAAGTGCATATCAAGTGTCTATATATCACAGTAAAATAGAACAATTTCGCTTTACAGCTCTTACTTCGAATCATCCCGACATGCTGCTTTAAAACAAAACGAGCGACTTCCCACCCTGATCGCATGGCCATAACCTTATAAACTTGAAGTGAACGTGGCATCAACAATGGACTTGTGAAAGGTAATCAGGTTTTTATATTCGACTGAAACGTAGGTAAAAATGGCGTCCCTTAAGTGTACCCTTTAAAGATCACAAAACGTCGAATTCGCTGAAGAGGTTTCTGTCCGAAGCGGTTCATTCAGCTGTGGCCACCCCTGATAAATCAGCCAAACGATGGTGTACGAGGGTTTCTGTCCGATAGAGCTTCCTGACAAGCTTTACATTACGCATTTGCTTTTTTCATTATTTGCAATAGCAGCCTACAACATTAAACCAACCTTGTGCAGAGAATTACCTTTTCCTTCAAAATTTCTGTCGCTATAGCCCACTTTAAAATGGAAAATAGAGCTCTGTCAGTAGAGCTTATTGTTTTGATTAAGCTTGAAACTTGAGATTGAATGGCTTGAGTTAAGAATGAATGTTGCTCAAATGCTTGCTTGAATAATAAAAACGCATGTCATTACAAAATCCACAGCTGTTATGATGTGACAGGTTAAAAGGTTGTAAGAAGTGGGAGAATTTTGACGAAACAAAAAAAGATCCCCTAAAATCATTATAATAATAAACATCATTCAAACAGGACGTGTTTGCTTTTCTCAGGAGAATATAAAGGATGGGAAGAGCTGTTTTAAAAGAAATACACCACAGAGCTTTAAGGAGGGTGTTTTTCATAACTTCTGCAATCCAAAATACACTTTAAAAATTATTGGGTTCACTGAATAACCTCTCAGTTCTTATGTAAATATATTTATAATGCAAAGAACATTTCAATATTCTATATAACCTCTTGTGAGATGTTATAAGTCTTATGCTAATACATTTTTTTAAGAGAGAAGCTGATAAAGGTTTTTATGCAATATTTGTATGCCATTCTTTAATTTATTTGACAATGAATTAAAACATCACTGTGTAACCCAAGGTCAGATTCTTAATACAGAAACATCTACATTTTTATTTTAATTAAATTAATTACATTTTAATTGCACTAATCAATTACACAAGGTTACTTAAAAACCTTGTTTTTAAGTAACCTTGTTTTTTTCACAACAATGGGAGAAGAAAAAAAATATTTTGGGTTCCACAGAGAACCTCTAAAGAGCATTTCTATCATCAAAAAATCTTAAAGAACACTTTGAAGAATCAAGTTCTCATGGATGTTAAACGCTTTTTGGCCAATAAACGGCTTACTAAAAAGTAGAGTCACAGGAGAAAACATTTTGTTCTTGCAACATAATAAAAACAATTATTACTAAAAGATGGCTTGGAGAATTGGCTCACGATATTTTGGTAATGATAGTGCTGTTTGGTTTCCTCACAACTGTACTGTAAGCCATTTGAATTTGAGTGAAAATGTAATTTAGATGTTTCTAGATATTAAAAACATCTGACCTTGGGTCATAAAATGTCCTCAGGCAGTTTTCTTTATAGCTCAATGTGTCTTTTCTGCTCAGTAATTACAAGTAGCAGAAATGAATTATGGCTCTGTCCAATTTAATTTTCACTAAAACAGAGGAAACCATTTACTGGAGCGACAAATTTGTAAAGCACATTATATTGTATATGATCTGATGTATTAGTCCGGGAACTAAAAAAATAGCAGGGTTAGTCTTTTTGGAAACAAGGAAAAGAGGATACTGGATATAATAAGCTAATTTTAATTTTACTTAAAATCAATATGTTACCATTTGTCTTCAAAAAGGAAGGGAAAAAGCTTAAAATAAACTAAGTGCAATGATGTATCAGAAACAAACTCTAGACCCCAGCATTACAGCAGAAATAGTATTGCAAGCCGGAAGAAAAGAAAAAATTATAAAGCATGAGCAAAGACTTTTTTGAAATTGGCCTCTCGTTATTAAAGTGCCTGCATTCAGAAGTGTTTTCTTTTTCTGACCAATCAATTTTAGAATTTATTTGTTAGACACGCCCCATAAGGTGAGGTTCCCAATTAAAAGACAGAAGACCATCTGGCTGAACAGATCTCCTGATCTTAAAATAAACAAAGTTATCTCAGAGCTTAAAATACTTCAAGCTGCAAATTAAATAAAGATTATTGGAGTATGTTCTCAAGAAAATACCATTTTAAGATTAGATGTTTAATTGAGTGTGTTGCAAGCTTTTAAAATCTTAAAACTTAAATTGTGAATTTAAGTGAAAATATCATTTAGGAGTCAATGTTCATTATGTGACAGAATAAACAGGCATTTATGAGGAAACAAAACAAACTGCCAGCTAGGCCTCAAAATGCGCTGACAAAAATAAGTGATAGTTTTAAATGCTGTTATCTAAATATTGTTTCTATAAACGCGATGTTTCATTTTTAAGGCTACTCTATAAACAAGAACAAATAATGAAGAAAGAAAACGTAAAATAAGCACTTTTTTAAGGACTCACGTCCTCCCGTTAAAATAATTGTATATAAAACTTAAACGTTATCAGTGTTTTATTTATCTATTTTATCTTTATTCTGAAAAAAATGAAAGAAGAAAAGCGCTATTGCGAAGAGGCCTGGACGTAAAATACAACTGGCAGCTTTTAACCTGAGAAATATCAGTCAGCTCTTTTATGGAAAACAAAATCTTATAAGGTAATAGAAAGAGTAGCAAACGTAAAAAATAATAGGCCATTAAAAAAACTTTAAATCTATAATTTATCTAAAAAACATAATGGAATTACACTGACATCAAAACCCTGAGATCAACTTTAAATTTCTTTAAAACAACTCAAAAACTCCACAGAGCCAAAATGCTTCTGTGCTGAACATAGCATATATATATATATATATATATATATATATATATATTTTTTAAAGAAAACTATATTATTTGAATGTTGTCTTATAGATGCTGGTTGTTTACGAGTTATTTTCTTTAGCCTATTTCTTTATCCTGTTTTTTCGCCATTATATGTTATCTTCTTGAGATGTTTTTTATATTAGTAATTGAAGAAGTTACTATGCTTGTTTAAAAGCAAACAAAAATGACTGTATGTAAAACAAAATACAAGAAAAAAAACTGACCATAAATAGGCTCAATGAATAATGACACGTTGAACAGGCCATTTACAAAGTGCATAACCAGGGCTGCGTTTCCCAAAAGCATCGTAAGCCTAAGAAGTTCGTAGAAATGATCGTACGACTGATCTTAATATTACGGTCTGTTTCCCAAAAGCATCGTAACTTAAGTAGCACTTGAAAATCTTCGTGGATCTACGAGTGCTCTGGAGTAATCGTAAAGCCTTAAGTGCATCGTAAGGAGACAGAGTTATGAGGGCACCTGCTGGACAACCGGCAAATTGCACCTACAATTTACTTCTCTTCAAAGTCATTATTCATATTATTTGTACGTATATCTCTATTCATTTATATTTTCTACACATTACACAATTCAATATACAAATAATAATAATTAATAATTAGGCTAAACTTTTCAAAAATAAATGTAAGAGCTTATTTATTTATTTATTTATTTATTTACTTATTTATTTATTTTGATGTGAGATAAGCAATTTTTGATAAAGAAATTGATAAATAATTCTACTTAATTAAGGTTTCATATAAATATCGAAAATGATGCTGATGTCATTTCCGGCAAGGACTGTTAGAATTAGTTTTATGCGAGATTGGAGCAAGACAGTGTTTTTACAGTACGACATTTCCAGTTAATTTATGTTTTTAAACTGGCTCAAAAATATTTTTTTTTTATGTTATTCGAGTTGAATATACATTCACACAAGTAGAAGAAGAATTATATGGATTGCTATAACATGTGCAACAATAACGAGCCATTCTATAGCGTGACATTTCAGCACTTAACAAACGGATAGCGACTCCTAAGTTGCACTTAAAGCTGGGCTACGTGCAATTGTGTTAAGTGCATTTTTGGGAAACGCACGTGAAACAATAACGAACGTTCGCAAAATGACTCGTAGAAAACGCTCTTAAGTGCTAAGATCAATCGTTATCGGGAAACGCAGCCCAGATGAATTCCAGAAATTTAACCGAAATAAGTAAATTGATAATGAAACTAATTTATAGGCCTTAATCTGCAAATAGGCTACAGTGTTTGGTTTACGGTATTAAGGAAACACATTGATGTCTTTCACGTTTTCAGTAAATTCAGTTTGAGTAATTATTTTACATGAAAAAAAATAATATTAAAATATATTAATTATTTAAACTTTAATATTGAATTTAGCATTTTATTATTAGCCTAATTCTACTAAAGCCAAGCTTTTTTCCAAATACAATTTTTAAAAACCCTTGAACAGATTTTCACTCACCATCGGAATTAGTCTCATAAAATGACGAGTTCTTCTCTGTAATAGAAAGTTTTTGGTCCTGGTTTATATTCTCCAAATATTTAGTGTGTTTTCCAGGCGAGGCGCGAGGAGTTGTGCTGCTGACGCCGTGCGTAAAGTCCGCGGAGCCGCCGTCAGCGTAGCGTCCCATAAAAAACTCATGCCGATGCGCAAGAGCTAGATGAGGAGACTTTTGGAGGTCGTCGCACTGAAAGAAAGAGCTTGAATTATGCTCCAAACCCGGTGAATTGTCCGGCGTTATCCTGTTGGGAGGCGAAGAGAAAGACAAGCAGCTCTCGGTCTCCATCACCTCGTCCCGAGCGCGAGCGCGAAAAATACGATGCTATTTACAGGGAAGTTCGTGTATAAACGAGCGAGATGGTGATTTTTCCCCTCACCACTTTATTTCAAGTGGGTGGGATTTAGAGGATCAGAAACAAAGAGCCGTGAACTGGGAGGGAAAGAGTGAGACATCGGTCTGATTCAATACGCCCAGAAATCAATCACGTGCAGCTCCTGTCAATTAACCGTTTACCTCCGAAACGTTTCTCTTAATAAAACGAGATTGTAATGAGTGATATGTAAATGGATTTGAGTCGAATAATTTAGCCTAGTTTAGCCCTTATAACATTAAATTACCCAAAGTAGACCACTGGATCCAGATTTCATTTTGTTACGGAGACATTTACGCATACAGCTTCCTGCAGTCGCTGTCAGAAATCAATCAAAACGGGGATCAACACAATTAAAACGCACTGGATGTAATAAATTCGCTTAACGAATCTAATTATGATTATTACATCTGAATAAAGGATCTATGACCAAATTAAGAAATTTACGGGACTGTGACAAGGCTTACACAAATCGAGGCTGTTGATATGCAATTATGAATATAGAAAAAATATACATTTTCCTCTGCGTTGGTGAACTTACGATGGAGATAACAGGTATAGGCACAGCTGTGAATACTGTCAAAATATAAATAAATCATTGTTATTGGACTTGCGATAGAAAGAAAGAAAGAAAGAAAGAAAGAAAAAAAAGAAAGAACGAAAGAAAGAAAGAAAGAAAAAAAGAAAGAAAGAAAGAAAGAAAGAAAGAAAGAAAGAAAGACCCGTACAAAAATAGACATTGCCGCTGGTTGAGATTTTTTTTAAAACATCAGACGAAAAATATGCTCCAAGCTATAGTATCTATCTAAACTAGAATATCTGCTCAAATCAGCAGGTGTTAGTTAAGGTATACTCAACATCTTTTTGCACGTTCAAACTACTTTAAAATGAGACAACAAAATGAAACAACACAATTATTGATATTTCATTGGGACAACTTAATTTTTTTAATTTGTTAAAAGTGTTAAGTTAACTTAATTAATTTGTTTTGGGACAATATGAATGAATTGAATTTTTTTGCAGTGTATAGACGTACATTTATTAACATTTGAAGTAGAACAAAACCTCTCATCAAAGTTATTCTAAATCTATTGAACACCTATTCTTGTGTGTGCGTGTGTGTGTGTGTGTGTGTGTGTGTGTGTGTATATATATATATATATATATATATATATATATATATATATATATATATATATATATATATATATATATATATATATATATATATGTGTGTGTGTGTGTGTGTGTATGTGTGTGTGTGTGTGTAACCTATCATCAAAGTTATTCTAAATCTATTGAACACCTATTCTTGTGTGTGCGTGTGTATATATATATATATATATATATATATATATATATATATATATATATATATATATATATATAAAACAACAAAACCTCTCATCTAAGTTATTCTAAATCTATTGAACACCTATTTTTGTGTGTGCGCGTATATATATATATATATATATATATATATATATATATATATATATATATATATATATATATATATATATATAATACATCTACATAAAACGATTCAAAATACATCATTAGACGTTACACAAGAAGCACAAGTTTCTCTGAGAATGAATTCAACTCAGTAACTTCTTCCCACTTCTCCCATCGAAACAGGGCAAACTTTAAATTTCCTCCTGATAACGCGGAGAAAACAGACATATACCTGAAGCAAAAACATTTTATTTAAAGCCTAAAGAAAACACAATTTATAATCTATTATTATTCAATACCTAATGATAATATCCGTAAATTCAGGGTTATTATAGATAACGTCATCGTATTGAATGATTTATTTCAAAACGTCTGCTGCATTCATTTTGTTTAGCTTCATTTTAGAACAAATAAATTAAATGCGAACAAAATTTTTATGAATCATAATGATTTATTATTGCATTTATTTTAAATTAAACATATGTCGTTGTTATCCACATGCATCCAACATCGAAAAGGGAAAAAATCCCTTCCCAAATAGTTGTGTAAAATTGCATGAGTTTGGATCAAATAAATTCAAACCTGCTGATATTGACGTGGAGGCTCAAATCTCTGCAATTGATCTCTAAACACAAAGCACTTAAAGGACTCGCGCTGCTCTCCAAGATGTCTTAACAGTTTTCTGAATATCAATAAGGCCGCATGGAGCCAACCTGACAGACAAGTGTGTAAACATCAGTCCATTTGCTTCGGTCAACCCGCATAAGCAGCGTTTCATTCGATGATGAATTTACCAAGCAAACAGAGTTTTGGAATACGAAGGAGAAGATCATATCACGTCCTATGACAAGAATAAGATGTTTTGTTGCACTCAAAACAGCCTTGGTTGAAAACTAAAAACAGTCTAGAAATTTCGTCAAAAACATTTACCTCATATTATTGCACACATTTATAAAAGCCATATTATTTGAAAGTAACTTACTTGAGTTTGTTTAGAGCTATAAAAGGGACATCATTTTAAGGGGCATGGAGAATAAATTATGTTTGTTACAAATAAGAAGCACTGAAAAAAATAATTGAATTTCCAAAAACCCTTGAGCAAATATCTAACATTTAGCCATGCACAGACAAGATGAAGATGAAGAAGAGGGGATAGAAACGCCGTCGTTTCATCGCAGTGAACCTAAATGCCATCAGAAGGATCCCGTTAATTACCGAAAAGAAGTTAATCAGAAGGACATGACCAGCCTGCCGTTTGTGGTTGTAGTGGCATGTTTGTAACCCAATTAATGAAGAACATGACTTGGATTAGGATGTCGTGGGAGCTCTGGAAACATAGAAGAGACCCTCGGAATAGGACCACTGCATGGAGCTGTAAAAATTACAACGGCCACTGCAAATGTACAGAGAAAATTACAGATGCACAGACATGTAGAGCGGATTAACTCAAATGTGCTTTTAGGTATGTCAAAAATATTTGATTAAATTACTGAATAATTTCATATCAAAAACGTTATAAAAATATACATTTACACACATATATCACATACCTTTTGAATTCTATTTGATGAAAACTTTACTGGATTTTTAAAAATCATTATTAAAAACTGGTCATTTTTCCACCCAAAATTAAGTTTACGAACCATAATGGGAATATTGCTAATAGTTGAAAACTGTTATGACTAAAAAAACTATAATTTGGCTGCAAATGTGGATGAGGAAATTTGGAGCAGCTAAAAGAAACACATTTCTAAAAACACACCACATTATAGTGAGATAATATGTGTATTTTATAATAAATACAGAAAACTATAGGGAAAGTTCTTACAATTATTCCAATACAGCAAATTAATGTTAAAATAATGTTGTCAATTTCAATCTTCAGACTCCAATATCATAATATTTATAAAACAAGTAAACAGGTACAAGAGTAACATTTACTTAAAATATGTAATAACCCCTGGCAACTCCTAATAAAAGAGAGAGAGAACCAAAGCAGTTGCAAAGTAAGTGAGAATAAGTAAAGATCGTCATAGAGAGTTCGATGACATTTTGCTTGAACATATTAACTTTTCTTTATTCATATAAAATTTTGTATGTTTAATAGTTTTTCATATGGAAGTCAGTGCGGACCAGTTTCGTTACCCACATTCTAACAGGTTTAAAATAAGGGTGAATAAACAATGACAGAATTTATATTTGTGGACAAACTGTTCCTTTAAACATTGTTCCTACCTAATGTAAATTACATAAAAAATATTCTTTCAATAAACATTTACTGGAGTAAAAGTGTAACACCATTCTCCTATTCTCTGTGTACTTGAACATGTCTTTGTTCATGTGAGTTCAGTGAATGCAGTTCACACCGGACACTTTTCTTGAGCGTGATCCAGAAGCTTCAGCCAAGTTTTGTGATTCTGGCTCAAGGTTAAATGGCTGAAATCCCACAGAGAAAATTTCAACTCTTGCCTGAAGTGATGGTGTGTTCTTGAAATAAAAACCCAGTGGAGAAAATGTACTCCAGAAGACACTTTTGGAGAAAATATCAACTCTACGTTGGCTGGATGGCCTCAGGAACCAGCGCTCTTAACTTTGGTGTTGACAGAATTGGCATAAGCACAACCACAGCCATATCATTTGCATCTGCAGGAAAGCAGAGAGTTGATGCTCTCCCCTACTTCAATAGCTTGCTGTTGTCATTAAAATATGTAAACCGGCCATACCGAAAAGCATATAGCCCATTTTTCTTAACTGAACAGAGAAGCAGACGTTTTAGAGCACAGAAAATAAATGAAGAAAATAAACTGCATGTGACTGACTGGTTTACTCCTCTTAGAATTCCAATTATAATGTAAACTCTTTACAAGTAAATTGGCTTCATTACCATAATGGTTCCATACAGATCCTTTAAAATCCATAGAACTTTCAATCATAAAAGGCCAATTTTTTCTTAAGGACCTGAAAATTTGCTAAAAGTTGGCAACACTGTGTCATAGTCAATGGCCACATCTGGGATGCTTTACAACATCCTGACTAAAAGTCTGTCCTCAGCCATTTCTATCCTATCTATAACATTGATCAATAGGAGCACAGACACTCTTCTCTATACAGCTTCCAAACACTGTGAAACGGAAGAGAGAAGATGTCTGGTATATAATACTGGTGCACTGTCTGTCTGGTGCAAAAATATATGTTAGATAACAGATTTTTTATATTTTGTTATTCATGGTTGTTCATGCTTAGAAATTGCATTACGGATCTTGCTTTATGTTTGTTGACATTTTGTTTTGAAATAATTTGTCTGGGTTTGGTCTATTTTGGCAATAAAAACCAAGTATTGGACTACATTTTCTTATACAAAAAACCTTTTCCTTGACTACATTTTTTAGATTTTTACAAAATGTCAATAAATGTTACTGTTTTAAACTGTAGGTTGAAACTTTTTTATCATCAACACTTGCTAGAGCAGACCTAAAGTGTCTATCATACAATTCAAAAGTGTATATACTTTTATATAGACAAGCTCGAAAATGATGT